CGTGAATTTTTAAAGGCTTCCTGACATGATTCAGGTATTTTATGATATTCATTCATCCATTTATATTTCATTTAATTCATTGACATTTAATTAAATTGATAGACAATAGCAGAAGCACATATTAGCATCTTGAATGCTAAGATTTACATGTCTCATCATCCAAAGCAATAGAAAATAATGAAACCACTCTTCTCCACAATGGTAACCCACTGTAATTTAAATGGTTTAATAATTCCAATGTAATTTAATATTAAACACTATTACACACTATCAAGTCTTCCCCTTTTCTAAATCTAAAAAAAAAACATAAAATAACCCTTAATTTGAGCATTTATTCTCTCTTAATTCAACCATATGCAAAGCATGCTGGGAACTAAAAGCACCGCCCAGTTTCAGTTAATGCAACACAAATCAATCATGTAAGCAAACAAAAACAGATTAAGTAAACTTAAGTTGTACGTATATTTAAACAGATTGAACACAATCAAATTAAGTTCGAGCAAAATGGCAGTCGTCTCGCACTATACTGCCACCCTCTGGATGAATAAAATGTTTTACTTAACATAAATGTTTTTTGTTTAGACAACTCATTAGGATTTTGTACTGTTAAGTTGAGACACAATTAGACCTTAATATATATATATAAAAAACATTTCAAGCCAAAAAACACAATTATTATAAGTAAACTATATATAAATATATTATGTAAAGTGCACAATCTTCCTAGTTCATTTTTTTGAGTGGGGTATTCCCTCTATTTAAGGGTGTGAGGGGCTATTTCGGATACAGCCATGTAGCAAAACTAATGTAAAGAGGTCACAGGTGTGTGTTTGTTAAAGAATTAAGAGCCGTGAGGCTGTGGTTTAGTGCATTTAAATCCGCTGGGGTGTTGTTAAAACCACCTTGTTAGTTCTAACTTCACAGTAAACCACGGCTTCACAGGGTTTAAAAGGTTAAGACACAGCCCGTCTAAAAAAGTTCATGAGAAAATATAAAAATTAGAGCTAACTCTAACTGCCCTTTATTTAAACACTTTGGGCCCTATTTTAACAATCTAAGTGCATGGTCTAAAGTTTAACATGGTCGGCGCTCCCAGTGCATGGTCTAAAATGGGTGTCCCTATACTCTTAATGAGTAATGGGTGTGTTTTGGGCATAACTGCAATAAACCAATCAGAGTGTGAAGACTAAAATGTCATCTTTTAACAGCCCACAATAACAGGATGACAGAGATATCTACACTCTAAAAAATGCTGGGTTGTTCTAACCCAACTTTGGGTCAAATATGGACTAACCCAGCCGTTGGGTTAAATTTTTACATTACATTTTTAACCCAACATTTCGGGTTTGTCCATATTTGACCCAAAATTGGGTTAAAACAACCCAGCATTTTTTAGAGTGTAGTGTTTGAAAGTGGAAACATTTCAATTCAAACTTGCATCTAATTTGTATCTAGGTCATTGGATGAAGGTTAAACCTCTTTAGTACTCATTATTTTATAGCTAGCGCCGTCTCATCCCAAGACGTCATATGACTGAGGTCTTGGGACATCTTTTGACCATACGTCAACATCCGCCTTTTTAGGGTACCCTTAAACGTCGGTTAGATGACGTTATCGGATCTTACTCCAGACCTAAACCTACCCCGTCACGTAACCGATGTTAAAGGTAAAGCGCAAGTTGTAAGACGGCCCGGGATCGTCATTTAACCGACGTTTAAGGGTAACCTAAAAAGGCGGATGTTGACGTATGGTCAAAAGATGTCCCAAGACGTCAGTTATATGACGTCTTGGGATGAGACTGTGATATTCTAACCATAAAATATTTTATTATTTTATTAGTTATTATTTCATTGTTCTGTAATTCACTCATATATATATATATATATATATATATATATATATATATATATTAGGGCTGTGCAAATATTAAGTGCAATTAATCGCATCCAAAATAAAAGTCTGTTTACATAATATATTTGTGTGTGCTGTGTGTAATTATTTTGTATATATAAATACCTATGCATGCATGTATATATTTAAGAATTATTTGCATTTAAATTCTGTATATATATATATATATATATATATATGTATAAATACATAATCTATATTATATAAATATTCATATTTTATAAATGAATAACACATTTTATTAAATATATACATGCATGTGTGTGTATTTATATATACAAAATAATTACATACAGCACACACAAATATATTATGTAAACAGACTTTTATTTTGGATTAACTTTTGCACAACCCTATATATATATATATATATATATATATATATATATATATGTATATATATATATATACACAAACACAAAGTTAATATAGGCCTAGTGATATACAAAAGTTCAAAATACAGAACATTTTTATCATATTCTGTGTATCTTATAAGATAAGAAGATTTTCAATAATCTGATCACTACATTTACTTCTTTAAACAAAAGAAATCAAACACCTTGTGAATGCAAAGATATTCAAATGACTCTGCATACAGCAAAACTAATGGCAAGGCTCAAGAAAACCAAACTAATGCATAAGCATGAGTAAATCACCGCAGAACACACAGAGCATATAAAGCCACGACATTTAAAAAGGTCAAGAAAACAAACGACAAACAACAAAAAAGCACAAAGGCAGATGACAGAAATATGTCTACTATGAGACCTTCTCGATAAAATTCACTACTATATTCATTTCCATGTCCACTATCACCCGATTGAGTATGTTCATTGAATTAGCATTGAGCCATCAAAAAACAAACCCACATAACACCATTGTTTCGGTCCAGATCCGGCCCACACATGCAGCAATGACTGACGGCGCTTGGGTGGCCCACTCCTGTTTGCCGGATCTGGGCCACAAGCAGGCCATAGCAATGCCACATGTCAGCCAAGAGCAAAGAAATAAACCAGAACTGGACTTTATCTGAGCCACAAAATCGGTGTATATTAAACATGGAGTCATCTCAACCTTAAACCCCTTAACTGTCACTTATCCGTATATACGGGCAATCTAAATTTACTTCACTATCTTAGTATTAAATCCTAATCTAGTCATGACAAACTATATATCGTTGGAAAGGTCTAAGACTCCTAAATAGATATTTTAGCGCTGTTTCTTTCTTACAAATTATGAACAGTAATATATGAATTTATGACAAGAGTGCGCCTAAAAAAAAAATCAACGTCATTGCAGGAGTTTCTGACCTTTGTCACAAAAAGTCGACGCACACACTTTTAATAATTGAAACTTTGTTTTTTAGTGCTAAAAGTTCATAATACAATTAGTATTTGTCAATAAAAAAAGATAAAATTATATTTTAAAAAGTAAGGTAAGAAGTCCTCTAAAAAGTATTATATATATATATATATATATATATATATATATATATATTTTATTTTATTATTATTATATCACATATTTTAGTAGTTATCATAAATTAGGTATCATTTGAAAGCTTACGAATTCAGAATTCATCCTGTGAAAACCGTTTTGAAATTGGATGTTTCATTACCATAGAAACGCTATTTTTTATTAGGCCCCTCCCCTTTTGGGCATCATCTTTCATAATTTATTATCAAAACCTTTTCTAATCTTGACAAAACACATATTGTCAGAAAGGTCTGAGTCTCAAGGTTCCATATTTTGTGACAGAAGTGATATTTGGATAGAAATGTATTAATTTGTTATGGAAGAATGCATACAATTAAATTCAATGGAATTCAATGGCACCCGGTGGCTATATTTGGTACTACGCCTAAACAAAATCTCATGGGAACTTCAAAATTTGTGATATCAACTTTAAATTTGGAACACAGCTTGGTTAGATATATAGCTTTCATTTTATAGTAAAAAATATTTATTTTATATTAAAAAAATATAAAGCCTGTTAACAAACAGAATCACTGAAGGAAAGAAGAGAACGGAAAAAGAGACGAGCAGAACAACTACAACTGACTTTAGACACAGTCTTAGATGAAATCACCTGAAAAGAAGACATTAAATCTGAAGATCTCAGCAGAGGAGGATTAAACAACTCTACAAACAGCATTACCAGCTTCACTTACTACTAACCAGACTGACTGTATTTCTGTCAGACGTCTGAGCCGAGTCATCTTACGTATCGCCGGAAGTGGATTCGGTCTGAAATCTCCTCCCTGTTTTACTTCCTTTCTACACACTCTTCCAGAACTCACACACACACACACACACACCCGTTGCTCCTTTTCCTGAACTCGGTTTCTTCTGGTCTCCAAGAAAATACAACTTCTGACCTCTCATTCCTGTAGGTAAGTTGTTCTGGACGCAGATTTGATCATTGTGGAAAGAGATAGAGATGAATATAACAGAAGAGACTTTCCTTTGGTTAATTAGATATGATCTAATGACCAACAGTTGACCAGAAATAGTCACAGTCATTTTAAATGGTACAATTATACCTTATATAATTACACAAGGTACAATTTTAAAGTGTATTCGCAATCTGTGTTTATTGACTTTGTGTGAATGATGACTTCTTAGACAAATCTTTGAGAGAAACAGTGTTGGGCAAGGGTGTTCTTCAATTGCTCCCTGAATTCGCCCATTTAAAGAAGGATTTCGTCAAGTATTTACTGTAGTCTCAAGACTTCAAAACAGAGAAAGTTGGATAGAAAGACTATTAGGGACAGAATAACCTTAGTCCTCAATTTGATTTGTAAATGGACGAGGGAAAGAGTAAGCTATACTTTGTTTGTCTTCGGCTCCTGGTCTCGATGATGTGGTGGAAAACTAAGGTCTGTTTCCATGACCAAAAGGAAAAGCAGTGCAAATTACTTTACAAACAGAACATTTCCATGTTGGCACGACATTTGGATGGACTGTAAAGATTTGAATGCTTCTTGTCAACATTTATTTTGTTGGCATTTGCATTGGTGTGCAAGTACACCCAAGAACTACAGCGAACCTCTCTCGAAACTCATTTTCTGTGTCATACTATTGTTCAGGGAACTACGAATATGGATAAGACAGAAGAAGCCGCAATGGATGACTTGGAAACGGAGGAATATCTGGAGGATTTGGAGGCTATAGAAGCACTCGAAGCCTTTGAGGGTCTTGAATCCGCTCCACCCTATCCAGGTCTTCCAGTCGATTACGGAGGAAAAGATGGGTCCTATAACCCGGGTTACCACTCATCTCCATATCCCAATATTAATATTGCATACAGCTCGTACCCAGAGCCCGGAGCCAATCCAAACTACCAGGGAGGTATGTTTCTTCTGATAAGCATTTCTGATGAATAACAATACAATAAAATAATAGTATACTGTAAAAATAACAGTATACTGTAAAAAAATATTTTCATGATTTGTAATCACAGCAATTTTTTTCTTTTGTCAAATCAACTTATGATAATTTATGTAGTTCAGATAGCATAATATTTTGAGTTTCTGGTGAATAAATTAATCTCCTAATTTCAATGAACTTAAAATTTTAAGTAAACCAGGTTACTTATTTTTTTTTAAGTTAAACCAACAATATTTTTTTACAGACAAAAATACAATTTAACAACTTTTTTTGCAAATATAATCAGACTGCTTTTAGATTACTTTTGACTTAACTCGTATATCACACGTAATATGGTAATATTCTGTTTATATAAAAAAAATACAAAGAGAAATTAATATATTCCATTATTTGTTACACTCTAAAAAATGCTGGGTTATTTTAACCCAATTTTGGGTAAAATATGGACAAACCCAGCCATTGGGTTACATTTTTAAATGACATTTTTTACCCAATGGCTGGGTTTGTCCATATTTTACCCAAAATTGGGTTAAAACAACCCAGCATTTTTTAGAGTGTATCAAGCACATAAACATGATGTTACGTTTTATGTTAAATTTCCCAAACAGGGGTTTGTGAAGGAAATGCAGGGGGTTTGTGAGTTTAATGAAAAGCTAATAATTAAATTAAGCATAAAAAATGACGATTTTTTTAAATAATAGAAAATTAATTGCTGATTAATCATTTAAATAACTGGTCTAAAAGGGTTGTCCCTATTCTCTTAATGAGTAATGAGTGTTTGGGGAGTGACGTGCAATAAACCATCTCCCATTCCCTTTAAAAGCCAGTTGCGCTCGTGCCATGGTGGATTCGCTATTTACATGGAGGAATTTGCAAGCGGAAAAACTGAACAAGTCTCCAGAGAGGAAACAGATCTGCCCGTTCACGAGGTTAAAGAGGTTAAACCATATATGGGAGAAGCCGGATTCATTCCACCATATCTTTATGTGCACAATAATAATCTTTTACTTTGTAATCCTTTTATTTTTAATATTTGGCATGTTTGTGTGCTACTACACGTCCATGTGCGTATGTAATAAGCAGAGTACTTAATAACAATAAAAATAGAATAATAAGCAGAGAATAATGTACCCTTTAAATAACAAATCAATACTGCGCCATTGCCTTTACACCAGGTTTCAGTTGGTCAAAAGCGTGTATGGGCCCTAAGTTTTCCATGTAATTATAGCCACCTGACTAGACTTTCTGCATGACTGTATACAATGTGTGCGTTTTTAGAAAGGAACATTTTAAAACGTGAAAAATAATCAATACATTAACAATGCAAAAATACAAACAAAAAAAAATCACAGATTTTTTGTCTGTAAAAAATCTGACAAAAAAAAAATCAAAAATCACATATACATACAGTGATAGTGTCATTGTATGTGATCATGTATATTAAAACAAACTGTAGTCTGAGTATTTTAAAGTATCTAATTAAAAGTACTTCATTTTTGAAATCTGATTACGCAATCGGTTACTATCCAACACTGCACTCTTAGAAGAAATGGTTCTATTTAGAACCAGAAATGGTTCCATCCCCCGCTTCATGTGAAACTCTGAAATGGTTCTATATAGAAGCATTTTTTTTTTGGTAAAAGGTTCAATTGGCCAAGTATGGAACCCCAGGGTTCTATATAGAACCAGAGGAACCCTTTTTTAAGAGTGTATAGAACCTTTTTAGGGGTTCCAAATACGTAGCGCTGATACAACCTTTTAAGGTTCTGCTGTATAAAGAAAGAGGACTTGGCAATCACAAGTTGATCAAATGATATATGATGGCTGTACAGAGCATGACAACTGTGGTTTATTATGATAATACTTAAGATTTAAGATAAAATAAAGGAATCTACTGGCAGTGACGGCTTTAATATTTCCTCCTAAAGGTCCACACCAAGGGATATACCCTCAAATTAACAGTGAGTTGCCTTTTTAAACTATCAAACGATAGAAAATCTCCAAATGAACTTAAGTTATACTGTCATTAACAGTCTTTTAATCACAATAACTATATTCTTAAATGTTTTTCTAGGCCCAAACCCTGGGATGTACCCTCAAGCTACCAGTAAGTTACAGTTTTCAATGATCAATCTCAAACAGTTATTTCAGTAGATAATCTTCCGAATGATCAATAATGATTATTGTATATTGTAAATCATTGAATTAGTGCAATAGCACAAAATCTTTTTAAAGGTCCAAACCCTGGCATGTATCCTAGAAGTACAAGTAAGTGTCAGTTTTAACCATCAATCAGACAACTTTAATTATTTTTTAAATTGTTTTAACCTTTTAATGCTTATTGGAGTTTGTTTTACAAGAAAATACTATTTCAATCTTTCTAGTATCAAGTATCAAATTGCTTTAGATACTTGATACTGCTTTGAATTACAAGTATTAAGTATCAAATTGAATTTCAAGTGTTACATTGAATTACAATTATTAAGTATCACATTGAATTACACGTATTAAGTATCACAATGAATTTTAAGTATCATATTGAATTACAAGTATTAAGTATCACATTGAATTATAAGTATTAAGTATGACATTGAAGTACAAGTATTAAGTATCACATTGAATTACAAGTATTAATTATCATATTTAATTACAAGTATTACATATCACATTGAATTTTAAGTATCACATTGAATTACAAGTATTAAGTATCACATTGAATTTCAAGTATTAAGTATCACATTGAATTATAAGTATTAAGTATGACATTGAAGTACAAGTATTAAGTATCACATTGAATTACAAGTATTAATTATCATATTTAATTACAAGTATTACATATCACATTGAATTTTAAGTATCACATTGAATTACAAGTATTAAGTATCACATTGAATTTCAAGTATTAAGTATCACATTGAATTATAAGTATTAAGTATGACATTGAAGTACAAGTATTAAGTATCACATTTAATTACAAGTATTACATATCACATTGAATTTTAAGTATCACATTGAATTACAAGTATTAAGTATCACATTGAATTTCAAGTATTAAGTATCACATTGAATTATAAGTATTAAGTATCACATTGAATTTCAAGTATTAAGTATCATATTGAATTACAAGTATTACGTATCACATTGAATTTTAAGTATCACATTGCATTACAAGTATTAAGTATCACATTGAATTTCAAGTATTAAGTATCATATTGAATTACAAGTATTACGTATCACATTGAAATTTAAGTATCACATTGAATTACAAGTATTAAGTATCACATTGAATTTCAAGTATCGCATTGAATTACAAGTATTAGGTATCACATTGAATTTTAAGTATCACATTGAATTACAAGTATTAAGTATCACATTGAATTATAAGTATTTAGTATCACATTGAATTACAAATATTAAGTGACACATTGAATTACAAGTATTAAGTATCAAATTGAATTTCAAGTGTAACATTGAATTACAAGTATTAAGTATCACATTGAATTTCAAGTATTAAGTATCACATTGAATTATAAGTATTAAGTATCACATTGAATTTCAAGTATTAAGTATCGCATTGAATTACAAGTATTAATTATCATATTGAATTACAAGTATTAAGAATCAGATTGAATTACAAGTATTAAGAATCAGATTGAATTACAATTATTAAGAATCACATTGAATTTCAAGCGTCACATTTAATTACAAGAATTAAGCATCACACTGAATTACAAGTATTAGGAATCACATTGAATTTCAAGTATTGCATTGAATTACATGTATTATCACATTGAATTACAAGTATTATCACATTGAATTTCAAGTATCATTTAGAATTTCAAGTATCATTGAATTTCAAGTATCATTGAATTTCAAACGTCACATTGAATTACATGTAATATGTGAAATTCAATGCGATACTTGCTGTTTATTCGCAATTAACTTCACAAGCATTTTATGAGTAAAAATAGTTTCGAAGTAAATCCTTAACCCTATACACCATTTCTTTCTCAGTGTAATTCTACACACCATTTAAAGCCATGTGTGAGATATATTCATCTTGATACCTCCAAATACCAAAAGCCCTTCCACTGCCTGAAGTTCAAATAATGACAAACAAGGAAACAATATAGCAATGTTACCATTTAAGTTGTTTGATTGTCAAAACTAGTCGGAGAGGATCGTTTATTGTGTTTGTGTGCATTACAGCCGTAACAACCACAGTGATGCTGCCTAGCCTGCGTGAATTACCTGGTCAGACCATGTGCCCTCACTGTAAGCACCAGGTGATCACTATAACAGATCACTACTCTGGACTCATGACCTGGATGGCCTGCGGCTGCCTTGCCCTCATCGGGTAAAATTCGATCTTCTCACTCCTTGATCATTTCATTAAACGACCGACACCTCTTAAAAATAAAGCTTCTTTTTGCTTCCCATGAAGAACCTTTAACATCCATGGAACCGTTCCATTCCGCAAAAGGTTCTTTAGATTTTTAAAATGGTTCTTTTAAGAACCTTTGGGGAACCACAAATGGTTCTATTGCATCACTCATTTTGGAACCTTTATTTATTTATTTATTTTTTTTAAATAAAGATTCCAAAATGAGTGATGCAATAGAACCATTTTTTTTTTTTTTTTTTTTTTTATTTTTACTCTATTTATTTAGAGTGTACTTGGCCTCCCTTATTAGATAAAATAGGCTTGTTGAAAGTTTTAAAACACTTTGTACTTTGCATGTTGTACATCATATCATTATGTCAATTAGACAGGATTGATTAATTGATTGATTGATTGATTGATTGATTCTCACGGCTGTTTTGCAGGTGCTGGCCGTGCTGTCTAGCCCCTTTCTGGATGGATTCTTGTAAAGATGTTGAGCATCGATGCCCAAACTGCAACAACATCTTGTCTTTCTACAAGCGCATGTGATCTGGATGCAAACATGTCCCACTTGGTCTTTCAATTTAATGGGATCTAATGGGTATTAGAAAAGGGGATATGTCAGAATTTAATTTCACATTAGTTTCCAGCCTACAATGCTACAATGTTCACATTGTGTGAAATATTTATTACAAACTGTACGAAATAGAATATTTAATAACCGCTTTAAAGCTTTACATTAACTTCTGTTAGAACTCTAAAAGACACAGTTGTCTTTTAGTGTTTTTGTTATATTAATGTATCTTAAGTATGAACTTTTAAAGTAAATAAGTTGCATTATATTGCTATGCTACCCTACTCTTCACCTCTCAGCCTTTCAATTAGCCTCAGTTCAAACCTTATACTGAATCCCCACAGCTATAATCAACAGTAATAGTGTTGATTGTGACCTACACTTAATTACATTGGTTTGGATTCCTGTAATTTAGACTCTTTTCCCCAGAGGGATTTACAGGGCATGCCTGATTACACTGAAATTAGTATGTACAATTTTAATTTACATTCATTCAGATATTATTAAATGTTTCTGAAGCCAAATTTAAGTGACAAGAGAGGTTGAAATGATCTGTATAAAAATAGTATTCAGGCTCTGTGTAATTTTGGAACCATTTCAATGAGGATAAATAAGTAAATATTAATACATTGTTTACATCATTTGCTCTGTAAATAATAAAATAAGTGAAGCATAATCATGCCAGTACCATTGATCTGTGCTCTGCATATTTGTTTGATATTGAATTATTTAAGTATTTATTTTTTTGCAATATAGTATCTGAAATTATTCTTTTCAAGAACCAACAGATGGCGTAGTAAGCTATTCCAAAAGCAAGTCCCCCTGTTGCACACAGAAACGGATGGTTACCATATTAATATATATATAAATATATTTAAATTAGCCTAAATATTAGGCTACATGACAAAAAAAAATAATTGTAGCTTTGCCAACTAATGTAGTGTTTAAGTTGTACTAAAGTACTAAAATTACTAAAACTAAAATAAAAGATAAAATGCAGATACCAAAATCACCAAACTTAAAAGAAAAGACAATGACAACTAAAAATATAACAAAAGTTAACTGAAAATATGAATAAATACTATAATATAAAAATATCCAAAACAAATAAACAGCCCTCTGTATTAAACAGGGTTTGTGCAAATGTGCAAATAAATATCAATAAACTGCAGTCTGTCATGTTTTAATAATCGCACAAGGCCATATCGAGAATGATTTCATTTCAACTGTCTGCCAAGAATGCATGATGCAGAATAAGACAACGTGACATTGGACTACTAATATGGACTATAAAGATAAGCTTCACATTATCAGCTTTGAATCTTACCAGCTGAAAAAAAAAAGAAAAAGAAAAAGAAAAGAAGAAGGTAGAAATGTCCACAAATCCCAATGGTTCCCAAGCTATTAGACTGATTAAAAAAAAAAGAAATATCATATCATTATCATTGTTCTTTTGCATTATTACTCGTTCGCAGGGAAATGTCCTCATACATTTTGGTTTCCCATAAAACCTTAATGATAGAAAGAGCAAAAGAGAAATGGCAGGGAGAGCCTGTGTGTGTGTGTGTTTGAGCCGTAAGGGGAATGGTGGCCACCACTCGGCTGCAAGCAATACTAATTAATCAAACTGTGTCAGGCAGAGAGGCGTAGAAAGGCGTGAGGTGAGAGAAGATTAGTGTGCCAACACTGCTGAACTGCCGTGAACCCCGTGAACCGGGACTCAAGACTGAGCACAGGTGGACCTGAGCTACACTGTAACCCAAGGAAGGACAGCTAGACTTTCTTGTGGAAAATACCTTTTTGAAACTTGTTTAACATTTCTACACTCCAAAAAATAAAGATTGTTTACTGATATTGTTGGTTCAATGAAGAACTTTTAATATCCATGGAATCTTTTAATTGCACAAAAGAACTATTCAATGAAAGGTTCTTCTTTGTGTAACAAAAAATGGTTCATCACTGCGAAAAAACCTTAAGTGAAGGAAGGACAGCAAAATACTATGGCAAATACTACTTTTTCAATTTAGGTAATTTTGGCACATTTGCTTTCCCCGAGAAATTTTGCGTTCACTCACAAAACATTTGTGTTGCCCCGAAACTTTGGGTTCGTTCTCAAAAAACATTTGCGTTCCTTCGCAAAACTTTTGTGTTCGCTCGCAAAACATTTCCATTCCTTTGCAAAAGATTGAGTTCGCTGCAAAATATTAGCGATCCACTGAGAAACTATGGCTTCCTTCGCAACAACTTAGCTTTCACTTGTCAAACATTAGCGTTCCCCCAAGAAAGTTTGGGTTCACTCTCAAAACCTTTGCGTTTCTTTGCAAAACTTTGCATTTGTTTGCAAAACATTAGCGTTCCCCAGAGAAACTTTCCGTTCGCTTGCAGAAGATTGAGTTCACTCACAAAACATTAGGGATCAACCGAGAAACTATGGGTTCGTTCTCAAAACCTTTGCGTTCCTTCACAAAAACTTTGCGTTCAGTTGTCAAACATTTGCGTTTATTTTGCAAAACTTTGCGTTCTCTCGAAAAACATTAGCGTTCCCCCGAGAAAGTTTGGGTTTGCTCTCAAAACCTTTGCGTTCCTTCGCAAAAACTTTGCGTTCAGTTGTCAAACATTTGCGTTTCTTTGCAAAAGATTGAGTTCACTCGCAAAACATTAGTGATCCACCGAGAAACTATGGGTTCGTTCTCAAAACCTTTGCATTCCTTCGCAAAAACTTTGCGTTCACTTGTAAAACATTTGCGTTTCCTTTGCAAAACTTTGCGTTCTCTCTCAAAACATTTGCATTCACCTGAGAAACTTTGCGTTCTCTCGCAAAACCTTTGCATTCACCTGAGAAACTTTGCGTTCTCTCTCAAAACATTTGCATTCACCTGAGAAACTTTGCGTTCTCTCTCAAAACATTTGCATTCACCTGAGAAACTTCGCGTTCGCTCGCAAAACCTTTGCGTTCTTTCACGAAACTTAGCATTTGCTCGCAAAATATTAGCGTTCCCCAGAGAAACTTTGTGTTCGCTTGCAAAAAATATCGTTCCTTTGCAAAAGATTGAGTTCGCTCGCAAAACATTAGCGATCCCCAGAGAAACTATGGGTTCGTTCTCAAAACCTTTGCGTTCCTTTGCAAAAGCTTTGCATTCTCTCGCAAAACATTTGCTCTCCCCCGAGAAACTTTGCGTCCGCTCACAAAACATTAGCATTCCCCCGAGAAACTTTGCGTCCGCTCGCAAAACATTAGCTTGCAAAACATTAGCGTTCCCCCAAGAAACTTTGCGTCTGCTCACAAAACATTAGCTTGCAAAACATTAGCGTTCCCCCAAGAAACTTTGCGTCTGCTCACAAAACATTAGCTTGCAAAACATTAGCGTTCCCCCAAGAAACTTTGCGTCTGCTCACAAAACATTAGCTTGCAAAACATTAGCGTTCCCCCAAGAAACTTTGCGTCTGCTCACAAAACATTAGCTCGCAAAACATTAGCGTTCCTCCAAGAAACTTTGCGTCCGCTCGCAAAACATTAGCTTGCAAAACATTAGCATTCCCCTGAGAAACTTTGCGTCCGCTCGCAAAACATTAGCTCGCAAAACATTAGCATTCCCCTGAGAAACTTTGCGTCCGCACGCAAAACATTAGCATTCCCCCGAGAAACTTTGCGTCGTCTCACAAAACATTAGCTCGCAAAACATTAGCATTCCCCTGAGAAACTTTGCGTCTGCTCACAAAACATTAGCTTGCAAAACATTAGCGTTCCCCCAAGAAACTTTGCGTCTGCTCACAAAACATTAGCTTGCAAAACATTAGCGTTCCCCCAAGAAACTTTGCGTCTGCTCACAAAACATTAGCTTGCAAAACATTAGCATTCCCCTGAGAAACTTTGCGTCTGCTCACAAAACATTAGCTTGCAAAACATTAGCGTTCCCCCAAGAAACTTTGCGTCTGCTCACAAAACATTAGCTTGCAAAACATTAGCATTCCCCCAAGAAACTTTGCGTCTGCTCACAAAACATTAGCTCGCAAAACATTAGCGTTCCTCCAAGAAACTTTGCGTCCGCTCACAAAACATTAGCTCGCAAAACATTAGCATTCCCCTGAGAAACTTTGCGTCCGCTCACAAAACATTAGCTCGCAAAACATTAGCGTTCCCCCAAGAAACTTTGCGTCTGCTCACAAAACATTAGCTTGCAAAACATTAGCGTTCCCCAAGAAACTTTGCGTCTGCTCACAAAACATTAGCTCGCAAAACATTAGCGTTCCCCCAAGAAACTTTGCGTCTGCTCACAAAACATTAGCTTGCAAAACATTAGCGTTCCCCAAGAAACTTTGCGTCTGCTCACAAAACATTAGCTTGCAAAACATTAGCGTTCCCCCAAGAAACTTTGCGTCTGCTCACAAAACATTAGCTTGCAAAACATTAGCATTCCCCCAAGAAACTTTGCGTCTGCTCACAAAACATTAGCTCGCAAAACATTAGCGTTCCTCCAAGAAACTTTGCGTCCGCTCGCAAAACATTAGCTTGCAAAACATTAGCGTTCCCCCAAGAAACTTTGCGTCCGCTCACAAAACATTAGCTCGCAAAACATTAGCATTCCCCTGAGAAACTTTGCGTCCGCTCGCAAAACATTAGCTCGCAAAACATTAGCATTCCCCCGAGAAACTTTGCGTCGTCTCACAAAACATTAGCTTGCAAAACATTAGCATTCCCCTGAGAAACTTTGCGTCTGCTCACAAAACATTAGCTTGCAAAACATTAGCGTTCCCCCGAGAAACTTTGCGTCTGCTCACAAAACATTAGCTTGCAAAACATTAGCGTTCCCCCAAGAAACTTTGCGTCCGCTCGCAAAACATTAGCTTGCAAAACATTAGCGTTCCCCCAAGAAACTTTGCGTCTGCTCACAAAACATTAGCTCGCAAAACATTAGCATTCCCCTGAGAAACTTTGCGTCTGCTCACAAAACATTAGCTTGCAAAACATTAGTGTTCCCCCAAGAAACTTTGCGTCTGCTCGCAAAACATTAGCTTGCAAAACATTAGCGTTCCCCCAAGAAACTTTGCGTCTGCTCACAAAACATTAGCTCGCAAAACATTAGCATTCCCCCGAGAAACTTTGCGTCCGCTCGCAAAACATTAGCTTGCAAAAAATTTGCATTCCCCCGAGAAACTTTGCGTCCGCTCGCAAAACATTAGCTTGCAAAACATTAGCGTTCCCCCGAGTAACTTTGCGTCCGCTCACAAAACATTAGCTTGCAAAAAATTTGCATTCCCCCGAGAAACTTTGCGTCCGCTCGCAAAACATTAGCTTGCAAAACATTAGCGTTCCCCCAAGAAACTTTGCGTCCGCTCGCAAAACATTAGCTTGCAAAACATTAGCGTTCCCCCAAGAAACTTTGCGTCCGCTCACAAAACATTAGCTTGCAAAACATTAGCGTTCCCCCAAGAAACTTTGCGTCCGCTCACAAAACATTAGCTCGCAAAACATTAGCGTTCCCCCGAGTAACTTTACGTCCGCTCGCAAAACATTAGCGTTTCCTCGAGAAACTTTGCGTCCGCTCGCAAACCTTTGCCTTCCTTTGCAAACCTTAGCATACGCTTGCAAAACATTTGCGTTCCCCCCAAGTAATTTTGCATTCGCTCGCAAAATCTTTTTAGCTGTTTGTGATTAAGCAAAAGCACTGACAAATAATTGTTCCTCCATCTC